ACCTCCTTTAGGTCCCTATTGTAGCCTATAAATACACTAGGTCCCCTAACCTCTTAGCAAGCTTTACACGTTTTTCTCCCCGAAGGGCTGGAGAAATTCAGCCTCTTCAAGCGAGAAAGAAAGAGAGAGATTCTTCTTCGAAAGAAAAATCGGTTAGCACCGTAAGGTCTTAGAAGAGGATGATCAAGAGGTTTTGGGAAATCTAATAAATCGCTCTACCAAGATTTATTAGAGATCGTGTAAAGGTCATACAATAGAAGATTCGAAGCGCGATGGTGAGCAGCGCGGTCTTTCCGGGCGGAGGTCGCAGGTTCGATTCCTTCTCCTTGCGTTAATAGGAGATTTCTTTTTGGCTCCAGGCGCGCGGGCTTTCTGGCCCGCAACAGCCCGCGCGCGGCCTGATCTTCCTCTCAGCTGGCAGCCCGCACCAGGCCCGCGCTCATCTCAGATCCCAACCCGCGAGCGGCTCGACCAAGCCCGCGAGCAGCCCAGCGTCTTCTGGCCCATTGTACGCAGCCCAGCGCATTGTGCGCGGCCCTAATGCACTTCACTCTAGCCCGCGCGCAAACAGCAGCACAACATCACTTTGCGCGGCCCAGTCCCTGTTGCGCGGCCCACCTGCCTTCATATCCGCGGCCCAAATTGCACCAGCATGGCCCAGCGAGCTTGGTTCCAGCCCAGATGCGCTCCAACCGGTCCATGAAGCTCCAGAACGGTCCAGCAGCGTGCCAACACCGTTAAGACCAGCCCAAACCTGTCCAGCTCACCTTAAACCGGTTCAACTTGGTCCAGAAGCTCCGGTTCATGTCCAAGATGGTTCCCGAGTGGTCCGAGGAGTTCGATTCACTTACCGACGGTCCGAGACGATCCGATGAGCTTGATGAGCGATTGAAGTACCATGGTGACTTGATTAGAATCGAGAAAGGCCAAGTCTAGCTGCCCATTAGACTTTGGTGTTCAGACGATCTCCATCAACGAAAATCAGAAACGTCTCAGAGTCGGCAAAAATTTTAAACCGTAAGTCCTAATCCTAACTATAGATTCCGCTGCGCTAAGATTTATTATTCAATAGATTTGAATGTGCACATTGTTGACGTTCCTAATAGAACCCAACACGATCATGATATTGATATTATTATTGTTGTTTACTTTATTATGGGTTTTTGCGGAGTACAGTGGATTAGTACTCACGCCCCACTATTATCATTTTCAGGTAACAGAGTCGGTGCGGAGGTGTGAGATCAGCTGTGGTGGTGTTGGTCGTGAATTTGGTTCAATTTCTATTATGGACTTTTAATAAGGTTTCAGTTTGTATAATTATTATGCCACGCTTGCAAGA